GCTCAAGATATACATACAACCACATATCAGAAAAAACTTTACAAACCAAGTTTACGTTCCATGTTCATTAGTGATTAATGAAATACTTAATGTGTCTGCATATCCACCAGTGATATCCTGACAAAATGATTTCATAAAAAAATGAAGCATCCAGAAAAAAATCTCCACAGTATTCAAAATGAGAATTTAAGTTCCATTTTATTTGTGCTTCAAACTGCAAACACAAGTTCCAGTTTGTGACTGTTGTTTTAAACTCTGAAGGGTATTTATAAGGAACTCTGAGTAAAATTAAACAAGTGTATAATAATACATCAATCACACTTTTTCTGCTGTATCCAGCACTGATGAGGCCTTTTGCTCAATAGCAGGACTCTTCAGGACGAATAGGACATGACAGACATAAGAATGGTTGAGATGCTATTTATATTAGATAACTGACTGAACAAATTCAACTTTATGACTCTTGTTTCAAATTTAGATTGCATATTCCATTTTAAGGTTTTTGTTTCAAATTCAACATACAAGTTCCGTTTTATGATTTTTTTTTGCTATAAACATAAGATTCCATTTTTATGTTTTTTTATCTAAATTCAGAATACATAATTTTTGTTTGTTTTGGTTATGAAATTTTTGAAATAATTTAATAATATGATCCACCCTCAACACTAAGGTAATTTGGATAATCACAAAAGTCACAGTAATAATATACATAAAAATTTATTTTATATAACTTTTTTTTTTGTTTCTTTAAAGTGCTTACTATTGTAGGTAATCACTCCTGAAACAACAAAAGTACAAAAAAAGATTTACATTCAAAAATTTCTCAGGGAAGAAACACTACAAAGCCTTAAAATTTGTACACAATTTACATACAAGGGTTCCTTATGGAGTGTTCTCTGTCTGTCACTTGAAAAAAAGGCATTTTATTATAATTAGAAAAGAGTGGACCTCTCCAATACAGTGTTGGTTTTCTATATAAGACAGTTCATCTGCCCAGACTATGTGAACAATCCCTTAACCCATTTTTCGGGGCTATTTCTATTTGCTGGTCTTGGATGTGCCATAAACAGTCATCAGAGAGCTTAGAGAAGAAAGGGTGGTTCAGAGCTTCTGCCAAGGTGATCCTCTGGTTGGGTTCATAATCTAACATTCGAGCTAAAAGATGAAACAGATTTCTGTGGTCTTCGTCGTCACTGATCATGTACCTCTGTCAGAAAATAGAAAATGTTAAATCTATAACTCAACTTCTTGGTTTTTACTTTGTTGTACAAACTGACCAACATCTCACATTAATTAATCACAAAACATTTATTTTACGTGTGTCATACTTACCCTTAAAGGTTTACAGTTTTCTCTTACATATCTGCTAGCTGAACTTTTTTCATCCCAGTCTAGCTTTCCATGATAGAAGTACTTGGTTCTGTAAAACAGATGACTACTTTAACAATAAACAAAATGCCAGCCATCTTTGATGATATTAAACATATCAAAGATATGCACAAACTAAATACTTTGTATCAAAGTAACATTCCACAGTGTTTTTAATCAGTTCTAAATTACTGATAGGAAGCTCAGAAATAGCTCATGAGAAGAGAAGATTACAACCCATTGGGTGTTAATTTACTTAGGGAAGTTTACAACCCACCAGGTGTTAACTTACAAGCAGTTTAGAGAAGGTTACAACCTACTGGGTGTTAATTTACAAGTAGTTTAGAGAAGGTTACAGCCTATTGGGTGTTACTTTACAGGTAGTTTAGTTAATTTACTTAGGGAAGTTTACAATCTATTGGGTGTCAATTTATAGGTAGTTTAGAGAAGGTTACAGCCTACTTGGTGTTAATTTGCATGTAGTTTAGAGAAAGTTACAGCCTACTGGGTGTTAATTTACTTAGGGAAGTTTACAACCTATTGGGTGTTATTTTTACAGGTAGTTCAGAGAAGATTGCAGCCTACTGGGTGTTACCTTACAGGTTGTTTAGAGAAGGTTACAGCCTCGTGGGTGTAACTTTACAGGTTGTTTAGAGAAGGTTACAGCTTACTGGGTGATATCTTAGGGGTAGTTTAGAGAAAGTTACAACCTACTGAGTGTTATTTTACAAGTAGTTTAAAGGAAGTTACAGCCTAATGGGTGTTACTTTACAAGTAGTTTAGAGAAGGTTACAGCTTACTGGGTGTTACTTTACACATAGTTCAGAGAATTTTACAGCCTACTAGGTGTTACTTTACAGGTAGTTTAGAGAATATAGGGTTATAGCCTACAGGCTACTTTTACCAACAAACAGTGGGATTGACTGCAACATTATAACATCTCAACAGCTGATGTTTAGTCATGGGATTCAAGCTCATAAACCAGCTAGTTTGAAGGAGAAAATGTTACAGCCTACTGAGTGGTAGTTACAGGAAGTAACAGTTACAAACTGTTACATTATAGTGTTCAAGGCTTTAAAGTACAAAGTGGATACACTAGTCACTAGGTAATTAGTTACATCTGTCAACAAAAAACACACACACATATATATATTGATCAATTAAAAGAAAGAATTATCTTTATCCTCAAATTACTTATTCTCACAAACATACGAGTTAAATTTTTCTTACAAAATAATGAACACATTACATAACTTTTATTACTGAACTTCCACAAAAAACAGTACAATGGTAATTTGTCTTACTTGGACTTACGACACATGTTATAAGGAAGTTTCCCAAGTATTCGTTCCATCATAGCAAGATGCTCTCTGTTCTCATGTGTCTGTGAAAACAAGTTTATAATGTAATTTTACCAAGAAAACTATCAAACAAGAAAAATTTGGACATTTTGAAATGCAGTACTAATATTTATTATTAAGTTTATTTCTGTAAAAAAATCAAGTTGCTTTCAGAAACTCATTTGAACTAAGCATATTAATAAGCACTACAACCGTATTCATTTAACTTAGAATAGAAAGTATTAGAACTTTACTTGCAGTAATAAACTAACCTGAAAAAGTGTGATTCCTAAGTACAGTTCAAAAAGAATACAGCCAATACTCCAAACATCACAAGAATAGCCCCAGCCCAGCTCTGCAAAAAATGTAAAACACTTTAAAATGTCCCACAAGTTCACTTGTCATCATCAAATGTGTGTCCCAGATCAAGTACCTTAGCTTAGGAAGAAGAAAAGGATTTACAAAATCTCACAATCAAATACCATTTTATAAGTAATTAGATTAGATACACAAAATCTTATCTTCATAACAGTAAAAAGATGATATAAGCTTAGTACTAACTTATTTATACATTTTATGGATTTAAAGAGGTCAGTATGATTGGTTGAAGACTACAACTTTTATAAACTCTGTGCAGCAATGCATTTAAAGAAACCATTGACACATGAAGGTAACTGACTGCTGACTAAAGCCTAAAACAATCTTTCTTTGTACTTAACAGTTTCTTAATCAGTGTCTTTAGAAGGACACCTTATTAACCCTATTGCAGCAGGTATCGTTTAGCGCACAAGGTTTTAGTGTCTTACATTCAAAATTTTATTAAACTACATTTTGTTTATGTTATACCAATTAGAATAGTATAAAATCTTAGCTAATAGCATACAAGTTTTAAGTTCTTAATTCTACAAAGCAATATTTTAAAAAATATTGAATTTCCACTAGTGTGACCCATGTGATACATTTTCTCTTAACATGTCATCATCCCTATTTTATCCGCCACCCCTCGAAAAAGTACGAAATTAAACTTAAAATACTCTATAAAATCATTATTGCTCAAACAAACCAGAATTTTTTATAGCCTTCAATTTTGTGTGGTTACACAGCTATTGAATAGAAAATCAGACCCTCTCCTGCCACACCCACCTGTCACATATTCTCTTTCACAATTTGTTGATAGTTCTTTCTTACGTTT